GGTCCCGGGGTGAGCTCGCCGGGTCCCCTGAGAGCTGGCAGAGCCGCACCGGGGGGGGGGGGGGACACACAGGGTGGCAGAGGTGGGGGGACCACCTCGGGTGGGAATGGTGGGGGCCAGAGGGTGAACACAAACCACCGGGAAGTGCCGGAGCAGGAGAGAATTCCCAAGGGAAGGAGAGAAGTTGCTGTGCCGAGGAGAACCCCAGATGAGATCCCACCTGGAAACAACGAGTTATCATGGGGGGGGGGTGAGAGAAGTCTGAAGAGAAGGTGTGGAGAGAGGAGAGGACCCCCCCGGGGGGACACAGAGCGGCAGGGAGCCTTCTCCCCAGCACGGGGGTGTCTGTGTGATGGGCACCAGTTTCAGAACTGAGGGACCTCTGTCCGTGCCTGAATAGAAGAGGGAACTTCAGGCGGTTGCAGGAAGAGTAAATGGCTCTATTTTGTCTTTTTGGGCCTTTCTCTTCACTTCCCAAATAGTCCGTCTCCGAAGTTACGAGGTAGGTTTTGGTGGATCTCCATCTAAGCAGCTGAGCTGCTTCTTCTCTGCTGCCGGTCAGGAAGGTGGAAAATTGGAGGTGTGACTACAGTCGTGGCTCTTTGGCTGTTAAAGTACTAACATTCTTTGCGTTTTCCTCTCCCTAGAGCCCCTTGCGCTGCAAATTTCTGGATGCCCAGCACCCCCTGCTCACGCAGCTGCTGAATGCGTGAAGAAGCAGCTGACCAGGAGAGGGGCTCGTAAGCAGCTGCTAAGATGGGCATGAGGATCAAGCTGCACAGCACCAATCACCCCAACAACCTGCTGAAGGAACTCAACAAGTGCAGGCTCTCCGAGACCATGTGCGACGTCACCATTTTGGTGGGCACCCGCTCCTTCGCGGCCCACAAGGCCGTCCTGGCCTGCGCCGCCGGCTACTTCCAAAACCTCTTTCTCAACACGGGCCTGGACGCTGCCAGGACCTACGTGGTGGATTTCATCACGCCCGCCAACTTCGAGAAGATCCTCAGCTTCGTGTACACCTCGGAGCTCTTCACCGACCTCATCAACGTGGGCGTCATTTACGAGGTGGCGGAGCGGCTGGGCATGGAGGATCTGCTCAAGGCCTGCCACTCCACCTTCCCCGACCTGGAGAGCTCGGCCATCACGAAACAACCCTCCTTGTCCGTGAGCGAAGGGAGGTCGGGTCCCCTGAGCAGCACCTCCTCAGAGCAGAGCCACTCTTTGGGTGAGATCCGGGGAGGCGGCGGGGAGCATTTTGGCCCGGAACGGAATTACATCCTCCACGGGGAAGTGTCGGGCAGCTACAAGGAGGATGAGAGGAACACGGTGAGCGAAGGCAGCCAGACCCTTCCCCTGATGCACCCGCAGCAGCCTCCCAAAACGGAGCAGGAGTCGGAGCAGGGGCCTTTCCCTCCCGCCGCCGGCGCGGCCCCTCAGCCCGGCCTGGGCAGCGTCAACATCGTTGTCCAAACCACGGCGAGCTCCTGCCAGCAGTACAAGGTCCAGAGCAACGGTGACTACGGCAAAGGTGTCTTCTTTACCTCTGATCCTTCCCTGGACGTCTCCGCGGGGAGCAACTCCTGTCCCAGCAACAGCGACCACTCCAAAGAGCAAGGATTCGGGCAGATGGATGAGCTTCAGCTGGAGGATTTGGGTGAGGATGAGCTGCATTTCGAGGATGCCAGCGAGGAGCTGGGCCCGTCGGAAGAAGTTATCGAGCTGAGTGATGACAGCGAAGAAGAGCTGGCCTTTGAGAACGACAGCCGGGACAGCAAGGCCATGCCCTGCCAGGTCTGCAAGAAGGTCCTGGAGCCCAACATCCAGTTGATCCGCCAACACGCCAGGGACCACGTGGATCTGCTCACGGGGAACTGCAAGGTCTGCGAAACCCACTTCCAGGACCGGAACTCCAGGGTGACTCACGTCTTGTCCCACATCGGCATCTTCCTCTTCTCCTGCGACATGTGCGAGACCAAGTTCTTCACCCAGTGGCAGCTGACCCTCCACCGGCGAGAAGGGGTCTTTGACAACAACGTCATTGTCCACCCCAGCGACCCTCTGCCCGGGAAGGTCACCGTGTTTGGGGGAGGGCCCGGCTCGGAGCTGGCGTGCGCTGCCTGCGGGAAGCCCTTGGCCAAAGATTTCCACACCGTCCGCAACCACATCCTGGACCACGTCAACCTGAAAAGCCAGACGTGCGGCGTGTGCGACCAGCGGCACCTCAGCCTCTGCAGCCTGATGTGGCACACCCTGTCTCACCTGGGCATCTCCGTCTTCTCCTGCTCCGTCTGTGCCAACAGCTTCGTGGATCGGCACCTCCTGGAGAAGCACTTGGCCGTTCACCAGAACGTGGAAGAAGCTCTTTTCCGTTGCCACTTCTGCGGCCAGAGCTTCAAGCTGGAAGCGGCGTATCGTTACCACGTCAGCCAGCACAAATGTGGGGGCAGCTTGGAGATCCGACCCGGTTTCGGGGACCGTCTCCAGCAGCAGGGCCTACAGAAGAGGAAGCTGCCGGAGGAGTTCCTGAGCGAAGACTTGGCGCTGCAGAACCAGCCGGGCAACAGCAAGTACAGCTGCAAGGTGTGTGGGAAGAGGTTTGCCCACACCAGTGAGTTCAACTACCACCGGAGGATCCACACTGGGGAGAAGCCCTACCAGTGCAAGGTGTGCCACAAGTTCTTCCGCGGCCGCTCCACCATCAAGTGCCACCTGCGGACGCACTCGGGGGCCCTCATGTACCGCTGCACCGTCTGCGGGCACTACAGCTCCACGCTCAACCTCATGAGCAAGCACATAGGGGTCCACAAAGGCAGCCTCCCCCCGGACTTCACCATCGAACAGACTTTCATGTACATCATCCATTCCAAAGACGCGGAGAAAAACACGGACAGCTGATGGGGGCGAGGCGGGGCAGGGCCAGGAAAAGGAGCAAGCGCTGATTGCGGAAGCTGTGGAAAAAAAAAAAGTCATTTATTTTATTTAATGGTCAGGCATCATGGGTGGAATCCTCCTTTTCTAATTTTTTTTTTTTTAATGTTTTTGGGGTTATTTTTTTTGGCCTTGCTAGGGCTTTTTAGATTGGTGACATTGTACAAATGAACGGCACGTGAGCTACGTCACTGTTTCCAAGAAGTCTGTCGTGTTTACTTACCTCTGGTCCTGTTAGAGGCCATCGAGTTCTGTGTTTTTAGCGTTTCTCACTAGGTTTTGAATCTAGATTTTTTATTTTTTTTTTTTAATAACCTTTTAGCCCACTTGACTAGGCTAACCCTCAGTTTGAGCTTGTCCACAAACTGATGCTGCTAAGATTTTTCACACCTGACCTCAGTAGAGAGGGACGGAGCCAGAGCAGGATGGTGCTGGACTTGAAGAAAAGGAGAGAAAAAAAGAAAAAGAAAGAAAAAAAGAAAAAAAAAAAAAAAGACTCATTCTGGGCATCACTGGGGTTCTGCTGCTATTGCAGGGAGATAAGCAAAGTCCGTGTCACCAAATGGGCCTTGAAGTCGTTGGTCCCTTGCAGGGAGACGAGCCACGGCGTGTGAGCGCGCTCGTGCCAGCGAGGATGGAGACCTGGTGGGTGAAGGAAAGGGATTGTCACCCTCACGGGCAGTTCCTGGGCCCTGGTCCGAGCAGGGAGCAGGGCTGGTGGCTTCTCTGCTGTGCCCACGGCTTCTTGCTTGTGCCACCAGCTCCCTGAGGAGCCCGAGCGGCGCCGGAGGGAAGAGGCGGCTGCGTGAGGTCTCTCGGAGGAGTCGCTGAACCGGAGAGGGCAGGGGCAGCGGGTTCCTGCTGTGGGATGGGCTGCTCCTCGGGAGATATTCCGTGGTGGCACGGTCACACCTGACTTCTGCCAGTCCACAGCTGGCCACCGAGAGGGTGCCCATGTCGCCACCGCTCTCCTCCGCCGGCGCCGCGCGTCCCGGGGCTGCCGACGTGCCGGATGCCAGAGAGCGGCGTCGCCGCCGCCGTGCGGGCCCCGGCATCGAGACGTGATGAAGCTTTGCCTTAACTCCCAGGAAGGTACCTTTGAGGACTCTTCTCTCCACCGAAGGGACAGCCCCCTCCTGCTGCCCCCCCCCCACCGTGGATCACCCTGTCCCAGACTTGTCTCGTGGCAAACGTGCGGCGCAGGATGTTGTCGGTGCGACGTGAGTTGGTTCATCTCTGGTTGGATGGGGCTGTAGCTTCAAGTAGGGGGCTGTGGGGGCTGGTGGGAGCCTCAGCTTGACCCCTCCATCTTGGACACGGGCTGGGGACCCTCCTCAGTTCGGGGGGCTCTCCTTGGCCGCGCTGGCGAGGTCAGCCCCGTGCCGGCAGTGTTTACACCGAGAAGGGTGGGGATGGGCTTTTTCCCATGTTATCCTGCTGTGGGGCAGAGGTGGAGAGGAACAAATATTTCCGATGCCGCAGCGTGAGTTATGGCTGCCCTTAGGTAACTTCATTCTACCTCACAAAACAGGAAGCGCTCGGGGCTTTTCAAGCCGCCGTCGCGGTCGTAGTCACTCGGCTCCTGCGCTTCTGTAAACGATGTGCTGTTACAAAACAAAAAAAAAACTAGTGATTTGCAAACCCTGTGAACCCGTCCTGCTTTCCCTTCCTCTCGGAGGGAGCGGCGGAGGAGCGGCCTGGGCTGGGTGGGTGGTGGGTGAGCTTGGAATTCCTGGGGGGGTTGCTCCCCTGTGGCCTTGGGCAAGTCACTTGGCCTCTTTGCCTCAGTTTCCTCATCTGTAAAATGAGGGTGGTGACACTTGTGGTACCTACCTACCTCCCGGGAGCGTGGCGGAGTCGCTGGCTGGTGCCTGCGAAGCGCGTGGGGGACGCGGAGCGCTCGGTGAACGCTGACCCTCCGCGTCCCAGGGGACCCGCAGCCCCCATCCTCCCCTGCTCTGTGCCAGTTCCTCGGCCTGGCCCACTCGGGGTCACTCCTCTTATCACCTCCCCGGCGAAAGCAAACCCCCTCTTTAGCCCTGGCCCACTCGGGGTCACTCCTCTTATCACCTCCCCGCCGAAAGCAACCCCCCCCCTTTAGCCCTGTCCCCCTCGCAGCCCTGTGAAACCAGCCCTGGAGCAATATAAGAAGTGGGGAGGGTTTTGGGGGGCAGGAATGTGGGTGCTGGTGGGGGGGCAGCGGCGCTGGGATGTCTCCTGGGGTTTGGGGAGCACGGGGACGTTGGCCGGGAGTGAGAGGAAGGACTTCCCATCCTGGGAGAGAGGAGTTGGAGGGTGTGGAGTTGTGGGGCAGCTGGAAGGCCCTGCCCCTCAGCTCCATCCATCCTTTCGTCCCTGTAAAAGCCGCGTTTCCACCGTGGCAGCTCTGGGTCCATCCCCACTGCGACGGGGGATGAGATGGGTCGGTGTGGAGCCATGTCCCCCCCAGGCCGTGCTGAGGCCTGCCTGGCCCTGACGACCCTTCCCAGATGGCTCCTTTGTCCTGACCGTGTCCCCCCCTCCCCAAGTCACCCCATGGACCCACGGCGCCCGAGTCCAACCCCGCTGCTCGGAGATGGGGAGGGAGGGATGGACCTTGCTGAGGAGGAAGGAGAGGATGGATGGCTGAGGCCATCGGGAGTTTGTGTCATTTCCCCAGGCCCCGTGGCATTGGCCAAGTTTGGGGGTGGCTGATGGTGTTAAACTGGGTTTGTCCTGGTTTTGGTGCCCGTTTCAGAGGTGGGGAGGCACCGAGGTGATCCCAGACCCTGGGGCTGGGCCGTGTCCACCACTGGAGCTCTGGTTTCCAAACCCCCTGGTACCAGTCGGCTGCTGGGCCACGGCCTGTGGTCGCTGCCTGGTCTGCGGGGCCGTGTTTAGCCTGATGGTGTTAAGTTTAAAAATATATCTATAGCATTTTGAGAACGTGTGGCACTCTAGAAAAGTGTGGGAGGTGGTGGCAAGTCAGTGGAGGCTCCTCTGAGGAGCTCGTGGAGTTGTCCCAGGGGTGGCTGGTGGAGAGGAGGGGATGGGACCTGCTCTGGAGATGATTGCTATGAAGGATGCGAGGGGGGCAACAAGGCTCGGGAGAGCCACCTCGAGCCCCTCCTAAAATGCCCCAGAAGCTTTGATGAGCTTTTGGGTGGGTTTGGGTGCTGCTGCGCGGAAGCGTCTTGCAGCCCCGTGTCTAGATAAGCTGTGAAGCAAAAAGCCTTTTGTGCACATAAACCAAAAAAAAAGAGAAGCTTTTACACTGAAACACTAACCGGGCAAAGCAAGCCCACCCTTCTGGACACAGGGACGGGGAAAGCAAAAGCCCACCCCGTTTTCTGGGCCGGGGCAGCGCTCGGGTCCCCGGCGTTTCTGCGTCTCGGATACTTTCCTGTGTTAAAATGAGTTATTCCCACATGAAACACCCTGAGATCAGATCCCATCTCCTGGGGGGAAGCCGGATCCGCAGTGCTCCTGCTCAGAGGGGGTTTCCCAGGAGGGGTCAGAGACCTGTGACCCCCCCCTTCTCCCCCGGCCGGTCCTGGGCCTCCCCAGGGCTCTGTGTCCCCGTCCCCTCGGCTGTCCCCGAGCCTGGGGAGCTCCTTGGTCCCCTGGGAAGCTGTGTGGATGGAGCGAGGGGGGCTTGGTGAAGCCCCCCACCCCCAGGCTGTGTGTCCCCAAGGGGCCGTAGCTGTGTCACGGTGGAGGCACCCGGTGATGGCCGGGGAGCTCCGGGCCTGCGGCGTGGGGCTGTGTGTGCCGGGGGGGCAGCCCCACACCAGGGGCCAAGCATCATTTGTGGCATCAGGGGGACTGGGGCCGATGCTCTGTGCCCAAATCTGCCCCCACTCTGCTGTGGGGTGGCCCTTGGCTTGTGTCCCCCCCCCCACCCCGGCCACACTGTCCCTCCATGACCATGGGGACGACACTTACCTACCTCGCCCGGGGCAGCCGCCAGGTTTAACTCGTGTCTGCAAAGTGCTTTGGGATCCTGGGGGGGGGCACAGGAGGGGAAGGGGCTCCCCCCGGGAGCGTTGGAAAAGAGCGTTGGGGTCGCAGGTCCCCGCACGAAACCCTGGCACAAAATTCCCCCCCCAAAAAGGCAGCGCTTCGAGTCTTGCTCCCCATTTCTAAAACAACAAATTTCAGTTTGGTTCTCCCCCCTTCTCAAAGGATCCAGGTCTCGTATCAGAATAATTAAGCAGAAGAAAGAAAGAAAAAAGAGTTGAATTGCTGTCTAACCTTTTCGTTAAGTTAATAGTAGGTACTGACCTCCTGATATTTAAGTGTTTACTATCTATTTGCTGTAAAGTTTTGTATATTTTGTAAACTTTCCCCCCCAAATAGTAGATGTCTAAAATCGTTGTACATCGGGTTCTTTTATACTCCATTGTTCAGCACAAAGTGTGGTTTTTATTTAGAATAATAAAATGGAAAACGTTGACCTCTTGTGCCTCGCTTCTTTACCAAACTTTGTGCCTTTAAAATGTGCAGATTGGCATTTTCTGTCCCTTCGGGGGTGCCAGGGGAAGCGCGTGAGCCCTTCCTGCTGCTCTCCTTGCCCCTGTGCTGGGCTCCGCGGGGACTGTGGCGCGTGTCCAGGGGCCTCTTCCTCAGTAGCAGGAGCAGCACCAAGAGAAGGGGCTGTGGTCTTTCTTGGGGCTGTTTCTGCAACAGGTTGGGAGAGGAACCCTCGTTAGGAGCCGTTGAGGAAGTTCTTGGGGTTTGGGCTCCTCCTGGGTGAGCCCTGGCCCGTGGCAGCTGGGGAGCAAACGCTGTTCTTCTCCAGCACGAGGTTTCCATCCCTCCTGGCGTGGGATCAGGGCGACCTGCCCTCGGCCAAGGTGCCTGGTCCCGGTTGCTGCTGGAGCCATTGGGTCAGCACCACCCTGGGGAGAGCGTTCCTACTGGGACAGGACCAGTTCCCCATCCCAGTGACCAGTAGCAGGCACTGGAAATCCAACCTGGGAGGGACTTATAGCCAGGAACCACTATGGGAGCCCGTGACGGGGCCAGTTTGTCCTCTGGGATGGTGGGGGCTTTAAAGGGACATCTGAGGGACCCACCTAAAGGACCTGCTGGGCTTCAAGCCCCCACCCCCGGGAGGGTGTCATGGATTATCCCCAACCAGCGACTGCCGGCGACTCCTCCCCCTGCCACATCAGGCCAAAACCAGGATATTTGGGGTTATTTGAGGCCCCTCTGGCCCTGAGGTCTATGAACAGAGTCGCAAGGCACAGCAGGAGAGTTTTAAAAAAAAAAAAAAATTTAATAGGTCAAATAGCAAATTTTACATGTTTAAGTAACTGGAAATTGAATATATTGTTGTCCTGATTATGTCGCCCGTCAAGTGTCTTGTTATTGTGTACTTATCTGCAATTTCTTCGTTGAAAATGGCAGAGTTTTAGCAAAAGGAAGCCTTAGGGAAGACTCTGGATCGAAGCTGTCGGTCGTGTCAGCGTGAGGCTGGTCCCGGGTCCGGTGTCGGTGCAGATCCCGAAGGAAGCTTCTGCCCTGGGGGGGACCTACAGCCGAGGTGCCTCCACGCTCTCGGGCTGTGAAACTGGCTGTAAAAAACTTAATTAATGAAGAGGAACGGTCGTGAGTTGCTTCCCTGAACAGGGGAGCTCTTGTGTCCCAGGGGCCTGGCTTCTTCCCCAGCCACAGCACAAATATTTCTGTGTCAGAGATGGATTTGGCTTTTTCTGTCGACGCCGGTGCCCCCCCCCAGAAGTGGGAAGGAACATCTCCGTGCACGAGGAGAGCTGGAGTATTTATTGGGTGCTTCACCCTGTCTCAGAGCCCCTGGAAGTGGCAGAACCGTTCCCGGCCAGTCCCGAGATAAGGGGCATCCGTGATAACCCCCCCCCCCGGGACATCCTGTCCCCCTGCACCTCCAGCATCCTGTCCCTGGATTTGCTTATGCTTTGCTTTTTTTGAAAAATGTGTTTCTTGGGCAGCTCAAGGCCTTCGGTAGATTTATGGACTCCCTTCCAGCCACTGCTGCTCCCTCACCTTCCCCTGCCCAAGGCTCGACCCGCAGCACGTGGCCGCGGCGGCGTCCGGACGGCGATGAACTTTCTCCGGATGCTCCAGGGTTTCTGCACGGGGTGGAAAAACGCCCAGAAACTCACCAGGAGACTGGGATTAACAGGAGGGGTCTCCTGCTGCAGAACACAAACTGGGGACCCCCCACCTCTGCCGCCACCGGTCACCGGTTTGGAAGCAGCTGAGCCCAGTCAAACCCAGTTTTAACCATTGGTTAATTTGCAAAATTGCTGTCAACGAGTTGCTGCTCTTGACTCAGAATCACAGAATCTTCTAGGTTGGAAGGGACCTTCAAGATCATCTTGTCCAACCGTCAACCTCATTTTGACAAAAATAGACACCCCCACAACAAACAAGGAGCATCATTAATATCCAGCCTGAACCTCCCCTGGGGCAACTTGAGGCCATTTCCTCTCGTCCTGTCGCCTGGGACTTGAGAAAAGAGACCGACCCCCACCTCTCTACCCCCTCCTTTCAGGGAGTTGGAGAGAGCAAGAAGGTCTCCCCTCAGCCTCCTCTTCTCCAGGCTGAACACCCCCAGCTCCCTCAGCCTCTCCTCATCAGACTTATTCTCCAGACCCCTCACCAGCTTTGTCGCCCTTCTCTGGACCCGCTCCAGCACCTCGATGTCTTTTTTATGGGAGGGGGCCCAAAACTGGACACAGCACTCGAGGTGAGGCCTCACCAGTGCCCAGTACAGGGGGACAACCACCTCTCGGGCCCTACTCCCCACGCTGTTCCTGACACAGGCCAGGATGCTGGTGGCTTTCTTGGCCACCTCGTTCCTCCCCTCGTTAAAGCCCAGCTCTGTGTCACGCTCAGCCCCTCGCGGTGGCGTTGCCTTCATTTTTTTCTGTAAAATCAGGCTTTCGGCCGTTCGCCGGACGCGGGGAGGGAGAGGTTTTTTGTGTTTCCTCCCTCCTGCTGGGGATGGCGTCGGGCAGAGGGGCACCGTATCCGCAGCACGTGTGGAAGTGAAAGTCCAAGGGCTGAAGAAGAAGTCGTGGGGAAGGGAAATGATCGAGTGCCCCCAGCCCCACGGGTCGGGGAAAGGGGGGGTCAGGTCCCAGGGGCCGGATTTGTGTTGAGACTTCCAAGCAGGCAGAGTGAATGCGCTTTATTACTGCAAGTGTATCTTTCAGCAAACAGGAAATATCTCTTTCTGGAGTTCTTTTCTTTAGCTAAGTAGAACCTGACAGAGCAGCAGCTCATCAGAGGCGAGGTGCCCGCAGCTCCCCCGCACCATCGCTGGGCACCCCCCTGCCCTGCCCCAGAGCGTGGGGCTGGGGTGGGGGGCAACAAGAAGTGCTGTTTAAAAGCAAAGTGTCTGCTCATCACCAGGAAAATCACTCTCACTGATCTCAGTGAGGGCAGGGGGCTGCCCCCCAACCCCACAGCCACTTGCCAGTGATGAGTGGGAGAGCCTGACCCCCCCCCTTAATTGGGAGGGTTGTTGTCCTTTGTGATGACTATGGAGTGCTGCGTGGTGGAGGAGGAATGGTCGGCGCCCTTCTGGCTGCCTTGGTCTTTGGGGATGTACTTAACCACGGCGGAGATGAGTTTGCTGCGGAAGTTTTTGCTGAGGAAGTTGTAGAGGACGGGGTTGATGACGCAGTGGAGGAGGGTGAAGCAGTCGATGATGTCGTAGAAGAAGTAGAGGAAGTGGGCGAAGGTGCAGTGGAGGATGATGTGGTTGCCGTCGAGGGTGAGCAGCGTGAGCATGACGTGGAAGGGCAGCCAGCTGAGCAGGAACACCACGATGTAGGCGTAGATGAGCAGACAGTGCTTCCTGCTCTCCGGCTTGGAGCGCTTGATGAACCTGGCCGTCAGGATGTTGAAAATGGTGATGATGGGGAAGGGGATGAGGAACCCGATGGTGGTGGTGGCCAAGCTGACCGCCAGCGCCCACTCGTCGTAGGTCTCAAAGGGGGCCATGAAGATGCAGATGGGCTCTCCCGTGTTGACCAGCTGCATGTGAGCAACCTCCAGGAAGGGGATGGCTGCTGCCAAGACCCAGCTGCAGGCGCAGACGACGCGGCGCGCGCGGTGCTGGTGCTTGCGCCAGAAGAGGGAGGAGCTGGTGAGGGACACGTAGCGATCCACGCTCAGGCAGGTGAGGAAGAAGATGCTGGCGTACATGTTGGCAAAGTAGAAGTAGTGGGTGAAGCGGCAGAGGAAGCTGCCCCAGAGCCAGGTGTAATCCAGCATCACCTCCAGCATCCAGATGGGCAGCGAGAGCAGCACCCCGAGGTCGGCGATGGCCATGTTGATAATGTAGAGGTTGACCAAGCTCTTGTTGCCCCGCGTCTGCCAGTTGACCCAGATGACGAGGAGGTTCTCCACCAAGCCCACCACGAAGATGACCAGGTAAAGGATGAAGAGGATCACCCTCTTGACGTTCTCATCCAGGCTGAACTCGCAGAAGGTATAGGTATAGTTCAGGAGGTGGAAGAGCTCGGACCAGTTGTGGTATTCCCCATACTCGTTCAGGAGAGTGTGGGTCTCGGTGGGGGCAGTGGTCACCTCAGCCATCCTGGTAGCTGCACGGAAGGGGAAAGGGGTGAGTTTTGGCCCAAAAATACAGAGAAACAGCCCGTCTCTGCCGTCAGAGCTCAGTCACAGAATCCCAGAATCTTCTAGGTTGGAAGGGACCTTCAAGATCATCTTGTCCAACCGTCAACCTCATTTTGGAAAAAATAGACACCCCCACAACAAACAAGGAGCATCATCACTAAACCAGACCTCCCAGCACCACATCAACCCGGCTTTTGAACACCTCCAGGGAGGCTCTGAAAGTGCTCTTCTCTATTATTTTTTTCATCCAGCTTTTACTCCTGTGCTGACTACCCACTACGGTGACATCAACCCTCAAAAGATGCTGGATCCACACCAAATAATAACCTCACACCCCAGAGAAAGCACGAGCCACAAACAGAGGCCACCCGTGCACCCACACACGCTCCAGGAGGTGGTTGTCCCCAGGTGGTGGCTGTCCCCAGGTGGTGGCTGTCCCCAAATGTGGTGTCCCCCGTCCCACCACCCGCTCAGCCGGGAAGGGAGGTGAGATCCCCTCCATCCCCGAGGCTCGGTGACATCGGTGACAGCAGAAACGGAGCTGAGGACCTTTTGGGCAGGAGCCCCCCCTCCACGGCGTCCCCTGCCACCCCCCGGGGGCTCAAGGTCCTGCGGCCACGGGGATCCTGCATCCAGCAACCGGCTGTGAGGCCCCCGGGGCACCGGCACCGTTCGAGGCACCGGGGAGGGACCGTGTCTGTTGGGACCCCCCCCCTCCCAACATCCCCCCCGCTCCCGACCCTCCTTGGTGTGCGGTCCCTTCATAAACCCGCCCTGCCCGTCTGGGGACCCTCGGGACTTCCAAGTAGGTGACAAAATTATAAGCTTTTAAGGAAATGCGCTTGACCCCAACATCCTTTTATTGCCCAAAGTGCCGAGAGCTCCGACCCCCAGCGCAGCTGCATCCGCACGGAGGAGCCGCCGCCCGCCCCGTCCAACCTCGGGCCGCTGGCAGAGCTCGTCGGACCGGCCAGGAGCCCCCCCC